TCTTTCCCTCTCTCTCTCTTCTCTCTCCACTTTTCTTTTATGTTCTTCATTAATGAGTGATTGATCGGTACACGCTATAGATATGCCTAGTCACGGCGAAAAAAAGTGCGACAGAAAAAGGTACAAAAGTCAGTCGTTTTTTACTCTACGTTCGAGTGATGCATATGCAACGCTTGCAAATTTATTATCCCAAAACAAATTTTCAACGTTTCTAAATAATTATTTTAAACAGTCAAACGTTTGTGGTGCTGGGTTCCAAGGCGCTTTGGCCTTAAAGCGTCCCGATACGCTGCTTATCGCCTAAAACCGGTACTGTTTATTTTAGAGCTCGGAAAGGAATTCGAGTAACGTAAAATTTGGATATCCGCCCACAGATCTGCATGTACTAATAATGGAGCAAACGGGTGAGTACTCGGGTATTCCGAGCTCAAGTCTGTTTACATGTATTGTAGCAAAGTGATAATAATTACTCGTTAAGTGCTAGTGTTCCTCCTGTACATTCGTACGACTTATTAGATGAGTTAGAAAAAGCTTATTGATGTTTCGCCCTTCTTAGTATCTCTGCATCGCCATATAAAGTGCTTTCGTTATTTATTACGCCGTCTGAACTTGGACGAAATATTCTATATTTATATAAGGAATGATTAAAAAAGCAGTATAGGTATTATTTTAAATTATCTGCACTACTTCAACTACGTGGACCATATATGAGTTTTAAGAATCTTATTATACGAATATTTAAAAGCGATCAAATACAGGTAGCAATCAAATAGATTCAAATGTTTTATGAATCTAATTATTCCTGGGAAAAATTAAAATGATCGAATATTACTAGTTGCTTTTATATGTTATGATAGTAAGTTTGAATTCAGGGATGCATTTTATACTCAATAAAACTACAGAATACACGTATAGGTACAAATAATAGGTATAGGTATCTCTTAAATCGTATTTGCTAAAATACGCATTTTGGTATATTTTTGGATTAATGTACCGTAGACTGTGTTACATCTTCTTTAGTTAATATTGTTTTATTACAATTAATTTTATACTGTTCAGTGTGTTATTAATTTTTTTATACGTGGAATACTTACTTGTGAAAACTATATAAGTGTCTTTTGAAACCAGTTACCGATGCGCAACTAATCGTTACTTTACATATTACGCATGTTGCCTCTGTATCGTTTTCTGAGGTAAAATAGTCCCAACTCCAATGAAATTTAACTTCTTTCTTCTCTTCTTTTGTTAATTTGTCAGAATGTGCCTTCACCAAATGCTTATGTAAACAATTTAATTTATTAATAGGTACATAAAATTTGTCATTACAATGATTGCATGTTGCTTCACGATTTCTTGTTAATTTTGAGTAATGTGCACGTATCCAGCGACGAACTGGAATTGGATTGGCTGCTTCTCCCCTGAAAAATTAATTTGTGATTTGCTATACACATTATAGAAGTGACTGATGAATCAATAAATGAATGTTTCACGTAGTAGACATATTATATTTGTATAGACAGTTTGATGCTTGATTCATAAATCTATTTATATGTATTGTAGGTAATGATTAGCGACTATAGTTACTCATTAGGTGCTCCTTCTATACATTCGTGCAAATTGTTAGATGAGCTAGAGGAAGCTTCTTGATGTTTTGCTTTCCTTAGAGTTAATTCTATTGGACCGGTATGTGAATTGCTTACGTTATTTATTACACTATCTGAACTGGGACCAAATATCCTATATTTATACAAGTAATGATTAAAAAAGCAGTATAGGTATTATTTTAAATTATCTGCACTACTTCAACTACGTTGACAATATATCAGTTTTAAGAATTTTATTATACGAATATATAAAAGCGATCAATTACTCGCAGCAATCAATTAGATTCAAATGTTTTATCAGTCTAATTATTCCTAGGAAAAATTAAAATGGTCGAATATTACTAGTTCTTTTTATATGTGATGATAGTAAGTTTGAATTCGTTGATGCATTTTATACTCAATAAAACTGCAGAATATACATACATGTACGATTAATACGAATAGAAATGTCTTAAATTGTATTTGCTGAAACGCATTTTGATATATTTTTGGATAAATTTACCATAGGCTGTGTTACATCTTCTTTAATTATTATTCTTTTATTACAATTAATGTTATAGTGTTCAGTGCGTTTATTAATTTTTTAATACATGTAGTATACTTACTTGTGAACTTCGCTTAAGTGTCTTTTTAAATTAAACATCCCTCTGTAATTCAATGTTACTTTACATATTACGCATGTTACCTCTGTATCGTCTTCTGAGGTAAAATAGTCCCAAATCCAATGAAATTTAACTTCTATCTTCTCTTCTTCTGTTAATTTGTCTGGATGTGCCTTCACCAAATGCTCATGTAAATAAATTAAGTGCGAAATAGATATAATAAATATGTTTTTACAATGATTGCATGTTGTTTCATTATTTCTTGTTAATTTTGAGTAATGTCCACGTATCCAGCGACGAACTGGGATTAGACTGTCTGCTGCTTCTCTGAAAAAATAATTTCTGATTGGTTATACACATTATAGAAATGACTGATGAAATAATAAATGAATGTTTCACGTAGTGGACAGATTATATTTGTATAGATAG